TATTTATTTTTTTTTTATTTTTTTTTTTTTTTTTTTTTTTTTTTTTTTTTTTTTTTTTTTTTTTTTTTTTTTTTTTTTAAGAAAACTTTTTATTCAAATGCACGTTTTGAAATTTTAATATATAAAAAATATATATGTTTTGTGAATACATGTTTTGTGAATAGTGAATCAGAATTTCATCCATATTGGGCATCTTTCTCTGCTATAAATTAATATAATGATGCGACCAAATGACGAATTGTGGCGACACGGTCAATTTGTAGTCAATCTCATTTTCATTCTATGAATTTAAAAAAATCAAAAAATCAGTTTGTTTTGCTCAGTAAATCTTGTTTTTAATACTGATAGAAACTAGATCAAAGTGTGAAAATAACAAAATGGCAGTCTGTCAAAATAAAGGTATTGATTTTTATTTAAAATTTATAGCATTTTCGGGATAGTGCAAAAAAATTGGTTAAACAAAAAATCTTCGATAGTTTAGTTCCAAAAGAAAATTGAAAATTGTGCAAAAACTGAAATCAATCAGTTTGTTGAATAGCAAAAAAGTTACTTTTATCACAAGTTTGAAAAATGTTATTTCGAGAAAAATGCATTTCGAGTGTAGGAAATTAGTTTATTAGTTTAGCAATACTTACAATCGTTTTTCTTTAATTAATTATGTCAGAAACATACAGAAAGTTTTCCTCTTCATAAAAGTTTTGCGTATCAAAAATATCAAGTAAATATTTCGCGTATCAATAATATCAAGTAATATTTCACGTATCAATAATACACAGTAAAACCACAAGATAAATAATAAATATTAAAAAAAGATAAATCTTGAAAAATTGTCTGCAATAATACGATGAATTTCATCAAACTTCTTTAAAATCATATTTTTAAAAAACCTCATATTTTAAGATTATGCAATAAAAGAAGCTGCATTTTTTCAAACTTTTACAAGAGACTCCTCCTTTAAGTTGGCAATCCGCGAATAAGATTTATCATATCTCGCAAGAAGATTCATCGAGGCGTGTCAATTCGGTTCGATCGAGATTGCACGAAACGTATCGTCTTAGCGTATATGGTCTTTCCGTCATAGTGAATTAATCAAGTCGTTCTCCATTTTTAGAACCGCTTCACCGTCTTCGAGAGACACGGGGAGAGGAGCGGCGCGGAGGAGAATCAGCAGACGAAGGTGAGTGCACGATCTTACGAGGAATATATCATTTGTATGATGTACATTCTACCGGTTTCGCCGCTCGTTCCGACGCTGAGAAAAAGAGAAAAGCGTATCCTCCGGATACTGCACTAATCGGACTGCCGTAAATCAATCGGCGAATTTCTGCAACAGGTGGCGAATGGCGAATCCGATAAAGAGACGGAGAGGGAGAGAGAGAGAGAAAGAGAGATTCGTTAATCTCGTTTCTTCCCCCTCCTTTCTCTTTCTCTCGCTATTAGATAATCCTTTGTGTGATAATCCTTGTGTACGCTGTCAACGAATCGCGCATAACGTGGGAACCAAGCGCTTTTGTTGATTATACGACGAATCGCGCACGTTTTGCCGGCTCGCATTATCGCCGTCACCTCGCATGTGGGTGACACCGGGCTCGTAACGGGAACCTCCCGAGGTCGTCGCACGACCGAAAAGCCCCGCGAATACGTTGTTCCGTCCGAAATTTCCGGGGGTCCGCCTCCGTTATAAAGTTGAAAAGCAACGCGCTGGAAGATGCGGGTCACTCTGTATATTTATCGCAATTCTTGGAAAGTCACAAGTGCGTCTTCCATGCTGTAATCACGAGGGACAAAGATGTGGATCCACCAGCGAGAAACTGTTAACAGGAAGCTCTTTGTGGCTTGCATGCATCCGCGAATGCGCTGATATTTCATTCGTTGTTTGACGCCCTGAACGATAAGGCCAACGTGTATTATTCGCACTGCGTTTGATGTTCTTTTCAATCTTTTTTTACATGCATCTATTAATGTTCATCTTTAATTTCATCTTTCGTTATTGAGATGAATTCATTGTGGCAGTCGTCTGCCTAGCTTCTCAGAGGCAAATCATTACGCGGGTAATAAACTATAATTATTAAAAATTCCTAGAATAACAATGTATGATTATTATCTTGGCTATCATTAATAGCATCAAAATTGTAATAGAATGTTTAATGACAGTGGGTTTGTTAATTAGGTCCGTAATGCTCCTACATTAATATTCCTATATTAATGGATTCATATATGAATCCATTATTAATATTTAATATCCATTATTAATATTTAATAACAATTAACTACGTTAATATTTATATACTCTAATAATTAATAACAGCTGATATTATTTCTTCGCTAGGTAATTCTCTCTATAATAATTTAATACAACATTTCGATGCGAGAATCACGAATCCATCTTTATTTAAAAGCGAAAAATGACAAAAATGCGAATAAGAAAAACGTGTGTAAGAGAAGGAGTAGAAGACAAGAGTTATTTCGGGGCTCTCCGAGTTTGTCATCGCCGCCTAACGAGAGGTATTTTTGGATCGTGACACGTTTACGGATCTTTCGATGCGAAAGCGAGCGTCCCGCGAAATGTAAGACAATGAAAGGACAAAACCGGAGGAGGTGGAGAACACGAAGTCGAACACGTCCCCGCGTCCCTTTTACGGATTCTCTCCGTTGTTTCGACTTCTCGCGCGCGCGCGCGCGCGCGCGTTACCATTATTTCCATCTGCTCGCCGTTGAATCTCCGTCCGCGGCTATTATTGTAGACTTCATGACGGACGATGCCGTTTAAAACAATGCCTCGGCTCGATACGGGCCGAGCCGCTTCGCAAAATCACGTTCTTTGTTGCCGCCACTGACTCAGTTTTCGAGCTATTAAAACACGCGTTTACTCTACATTGCCGCTTCGTCATTGCGGTTGCGGCATTGTCGCTGCTGGAAAACCGACGGGTTTTATATTGAAAGGAAAATTGATTGACCAATCATGTCGTTATCAGACTGCCGCTATTTATATAATGATGCGCGCGTTATCTTGGAAATTTCGTCGATCATCGAGTTAAGCCTCAACATTCTTTTGAAAAGGCTTTAAAGAAATAATACCTATTCTAACGAGTATGAAGAATAATCGTTGTTTTCTTAAATAAAATACAGGAAATCGAGGAACAGAGTCATGGACTCGCCGCTTGTTTTCCGCAACTCAAACTTGGAGCGAGCATACTGATTTGAATGTTTGAATTGAAATCTTAATTAGAGGTCCAGATCAAAACTCAGATTGACGAGCGACGTTTCTTCCGCGTGAGCGACCGATCGTTTAGAGAGACGCAAACGTTAAAGAGACGGTTAAGAGGTATTAGTCACAGAGTGCCGGGGGGCGAACGACGCTTCGATAGCGAGCATAGGCACAAGCAGAAGCGAGAGACGGCACGTAATAACGGGGGGCACGATACAAAGTTTACTGTTACTTGGCCCGTGGCCTGGCAGCGGCGCATGGATCAACACGCCGAGCGTTTCAATGCTCGCTCACTGGCTCGTTTTCATCGTCGTTACGGGCCGACAGGCGGATTGGCGCGATACAATAAATTATATCCTGAAAAAAAAAAAAAATACTACCGCAATATGCAACGAATGCATCAATAGCGTAGATGAAGCCGCCTCGGATTTATCGTGCCGCCGTTTATCAATCAATTTAGAATCGATTCTCCCACAACAAACGAATTATCGTATCCACCTCCGGAAAAATTCAATTATTATTTGTATGAATACATTTAAATTGGTGTATAGGAAAGATATTTTAATTTTTATTTATTTTTATTCTTTCTATTTAATCATACAAGATGAGAATTGATTTTTCCTTTTGATTTTTGTTGGTCTTTCTATCACGTATCGTTAAATTCATTATTTACAACAGTAGATATTATTTGTTAGGTGAATAGAAAGGGTATTTTATTTTATTTTTACTCTCTTTATTTTTTATTCGATTGTACAAGGTTGATCAGTAACGCATGATTTTTGAAAGATTGTTGATTTATATCTCTTTTGTTTAAATTATAAATATTGTACATACAGTTATCTCTATTATCATAGTGCCACGGTCGGCAATTAACAGCGCCAATATAAAGAGATCCGAAACTTAGGTCGGTAAAACAATTCAGAACGGTTGTCGTTGTTGCGAGCAACCGAAGGTGGCGGTACTCGTATGTTCAAGCTGTCGTGAGATCGCAACAAATACAGCGCTGTGCACGCAAGATAGCGTTAGCTCAACCTCCATCGCGACTTGTGACTAATCGCCATTTTGTCGCAATAAAACTTCCTTCGAAATCCATAAATCATCAAACTTTTTTCGCGATATTATCCTGCAAATATTTGACAAAATTTGATTCCAAATTTAAGAAAAAAATTTTGCAACTTTCTTTAAACGTAAATAGTTTTTAAAAAAACCTTTTAAAAATTACAAAAAAAGAAAAAGATATATTCAATTTCCTCAAATAAATCATTATTTAAGAAAAGAAAAACCTTAAGGCTAAGATTTTTAATAAATTTTTAAATAATTTGTTTTCTATTATGATTCTCCTTCTAACGAGACGATTTTTCAATCGTATTAATATAATAAATAATTATTTAATCGTCAAATCTCAATTATAATTCGTGATATACACGTCGCATCTTTTTCTTTTTTCTTTTTCTTTATACATTAGATTTGGTCTCTTTAAATAAGCATAGCATCTTAACAGACTTTCTAAGGATTACATAAAGCGTCATATAATGTTCACGGTGATGTTCCGAGCGCACTCGAGCGAGTAAAAGCTTGTATAAGTGGAGATCGAACAGATCGACTTTTTTATTAATTTTTTTACAAATTTTTCTCCATCGATGATTACATGACGCTGCTCTAACATTGTTGACGTTTTTGTGAGTTTGATACTTTTACATCAAGACTCATAAAATACGCTGCTAAAAATACTGTATCTTCTGTATTTTACTCCATTTTTACTCATAACAATTGTTTGCATTTACATCATGTCGTACTTTACGCGACATAAAAAATTACTGAGCAATTTCAATGGAGTGTCGTTTATGAATAGGTAAATTTCTTTTTTCTCGCATGTCGCGGACTCCACGAGACGCGTGACGTCAAACTAAAGTTCGTTGACTCTATGCGTGCTACCGATCCTTTTTTTCCAAAGAGAGAATCGAATACAACGAGCAAATAGACGGAACGTGCGTTTAAAGATTTCTATTCTATAAATATAAAATAAAATGTATATAAAATTGTACGTTACAAAGTTATAATTATAAATCTTTGTTAAAAGGATTTGCGGAAAAGTTTATGCTATTGCAATCGCATAGATACACATTAACATTTATTTTATTATCTTTCATATTTTGTTCCTGATAATTTTACATAATTTATTAGTAATAAGTAGAAGCATAAATGAAAATAAATTTCTCTTCTCTGTGGTCTTGATAATGTCAAGATACTTTCAGGCTAATGAAGGCTTAACAACAAACGCGAACAGTGTCGCGCGATTTTAAATCCTTGAGGCAACGATCGCGGAGTGAAGGGTCGTTAATCGAATGCAATGAATCATTTTGTCCGAGAGATTTGCGGTGTGTCGTTTATCTTGTTTGACGGTTGGAAATGCTTTGCACGTGTGCTATATACACTGTCACTTAATTTTTTTTTCTTTTTTTTCCTTTTCTTTCGCCATTTCATTCATATTACAGTTTTCGGATAATCGATAGGGGATTTATAAAGGCCTCGCGGCCTCTAATCGCGTCTTTTACGGCTTGACATTTCGCGACGTGAATCCACCAGACTGTCGGCCTAAGCCAGTTTGCTTTGGTATTTGCTTGGCATTTGTTGCTTGGCATAGCGCGATTTGCTTTCGCATCACGGCATATGTTGGCAAGGCCGAGGAATCCTTACAAGTCCTTAGAGGACTAAGTCGTAGATAGTCATCATTTTTATGAAATTATTACTTGCCATCATTCTTTGAAAAAAAAAAAATCGGACATTCTCCAACTAATTATCGAATTAATCTGTAATTTAGAAAAGATTTTATTATTTATTGAATCCTTGTCTGCTTTAGAAAAACGATAATTGAATACGTTTGGAAAAAAACTTTTTGGATCATTAGCTATTAATAATTTATTAATTAACCAATTTCCGATGCAAAGTACCAGTAACACACATTTAAT